TTTTAAACTGTACTCTATACATTTATCATCTTAAAATCAATAATAGTTCTAAACTGTACATATACGTACAGTTATCATTTTAAACTGTACTCTATACATTTATCATCTTAAAATCAATAATAGTTCTAAACTGTACATATACGTACAGTTATCATTTTAAACTGTACTCTATACATTTATCATCTTAAAATCAATAATAGTTCTAAACTGTACATTGTACGTACAGTTATCATTTTAACTGTACTTTGTACACTAATCATCTTAAACTGTACACTGTACTCTGATCATCTTAAGCTGTGCACTGTAAACTTATCATCTTAAGCTGTGCACTGTAAACTTATCATCTTAAACGTACATTAATCATTTTAACTGTACATTGTACTCTACTCATCTTAGACTGTACACTGTACTCTAAAATCGTTTTAAACTGTACACTTTACACTAGTTGTGTACAGTAGTTTATGCACAACAATTACCTTAAATTCCATAAATGTACGGGCATAATTAAAGTTATAGAAGAATGTACCATTGTGTACAAATGTTTATATAAACCAGGTTTATCGAATAAGTATGAAACTTGTTGGCCTAGTATAGGACATGACTTGTTGGCCTATGACTTGTTGGCCTAGTATAGGACATGACTTGTTGGCCTAGTATAGGACATGACTTGTTGGCCTAGTATAGGACATGACTTGTTGGCCTAGTATAGGACATGACTTGTTGGCCTAGTATAGGACATGACTTGTTGACCTAGTATAGGACATGACTTGTTGGCCTAGTATAGGACATGACTTGTTGAATTTTCTTAAATAGTTTTAACTTTAATTCTACTTTTATTCAACTTTGTTTATCATAAAATACAATTATATAAAACTAAACCCTTGTATTTTATATCATAATACTTAATAAAGCGTTTTTGAGTAAGTCCCCTTGCCATTACAATATCACAGTGATACAAAGGTCCAAAGGTTGAAAGCGACAGTGAATCCCAAATATATGAATAAATGGCAAGAGTTTTTTTATAATGTCGTATTACATATTTAACATCAAATGCCGCGGAAAAATGAGTTGAATTACATATTTAAGATCAAATGCCGCGGAAAAATGAGTTGAATATAGCCCTAAAATATGAATGCAATTGCTATATTAATATTAAACTCATTTTTCCCCGGCATTTGATCTTAAATATGTAATACGACATTATTAAACACACTTGCTATTTATTCATATATCTGGGATTCACTGTATAAGAATTTTTTAAAACCTTAAATGTTCTAAAGTTCTAGAATGTACATGTATAGGGCTACAAAACATTTTAGTGAGTTAGTGAGGTTCAAATTAAAATTGACCCATACTCGTAATTGATACAACTCCCTACAGCTGTCTGGCTCTGTTGGCTAGCTATTTTTTTTATTGTAAAATGAAGTAAATAAACATTTGACAACATTCACGCAATCTTTGGGCTTGCCGGCTGACTTCTTATCATACTAAGCTGTTCTTTGAAAAGGGAGTGTTCGCCAAAAATGAAAAGGGGGTATAGTTAAATTCTAAATCAAATTTTATTTTGATAACTAAAAATTTTACTAATGTTGAGAGAGGAGAGTCCATGCAAATTCGCTAAATAATGCATTTTATCAGTCAAACATAATATAATGTTATAGACGCTATGGATAGAATTAAAATTATTAAGTAACGATCGAATCCATATTTGATTTGAATTCAGCCTTTAATTTTTCGCGAACACTCCCTATTCCACAGTTTTATGGGTATCACTGTACAATGATTAAACATTTTTTCAATACAGATTCTAAGTTTTAATGCTTGTAATAAGTGAAATACGATTGAACCGCATTTGGTTTAAATCTTTAATAGTTCCCATGCTCATACATTCAGCAAACCCTTCAATTTTTATTCATATATTCATCCAATTTTTCAATTATTAATCATATATTCATCCAATCCTTCGATTATTACTCATATATTCATCCAATCCTTCAATTCTTATTCATATATTCATCCAATTTTTCAATTCTTATGCATATATTCATTCAATTCTTCAATGCTTATTCATATATTCATCCAATTCTTCAATGCTTATTCATATATTCATCCAATCCTTCAATTATTACTCATATATTCATCCAATCCTTCTATTCTTATTCATATAGTATTCTTATTCATTTAAAAAAAATAATATCGAATATGTTTAACTCTTTTTAAGTAAAAGTTCGTTAATTAGATTGACCCCCGCCCATTTTGTTTTGAATCTTCATGACAGAAACTTAAATCTCAAGGAATTTAATAATTGTCTTCAAATAATCTTTAAAAAGTGGATATTTACAAATTATTTTACATATCGTAATATTTTTTGCCAGAAGCTTAATAATACGTAAATACGTAAAATGAATCAAAGTATACTCCAAAATTGCTGTGTTTCAAGTTCAATGGACCATTTAAGATCAAAACTTGAGTCTTAACAGTCGTTTTTCTACTTCACATCTCGCTAAATATTATTATTATTATATTATTATTATATATAATATACTAGCTTGGGAACCCAGCGCTGCCAGGTTACTTCGGACAAATAACAGACAGACAGACAGACGAATAGAGTTTGCAACTTTATATAACCTTAAGATTGCGAAAGCATGAATCAAGTTGTACAATGTGCATACGATACAATAAATTCTTAAAAAGTTGTTGACATATTCCTTATATATATATATATATATATATATATATTTCTTGTATGTATAAACACATATGAGATAGAAGCATAGATTAAATAATTTAATATACATATATTAGACTATTTTCATCTATGTTTCTATTTCATATGTGTCCATCCTTCTGCTAATTACACAACTTTTTTGGTCCGTACCCCCCAGCCCCCTCCCCCCAACTCTTGGATACATCTGGAAGAAATTTTGTGGTTTTGATAAATACAAGATGTTATTATCTATACTGGACAATATCTTAACCTTGTCATAAATATAAAAATATGATTTGGAAAATACGTTTTAAAGGTATGCTGCCTGAAATTTGAAGATACGTTAATTTTCGTGAGGGCTCCCCCCCCCCCTCTATAACAGGTCTCCCCCCCTTCATATCAGGTCTGCATACCATGCCTCGGGGCACCTTGAGCCCAGCTATGGCCCCGGGGTTGCTCAAGCCCCGGGTTACACTGGGGTTCGAGCTAGGGAGGGCTCGGACTGGTTCAATTCTAAGATCTGGAAGAAGGTTTAGACTGGTTTAATCCTGGACCTAGAGGAAGGTTAGGACTAGTTTAATCCTAAACCTAGAGGAGGGTTGGGACTGGTTTAATCTTAAACCTAGAGGAGGGTTGGGACTGGTTTAATCCTAAACCTAGAGGAGGGTTGGGACTAGTTTAATCCTGGACCTAGAGGAAGGTTTGGACTGGTTTAATCCTGGACCTAGAGGGGGGTAGGGACTGGTTTAATCCGGAACCTAGAGGAGGGTTGGGACTGGTTTAATCCTAAACCAAGAGGAGGGTAGGGACTGGTTTAATCCTGGACCTAAAGGAGGGTTGGGACTAGTTTAATCCTAAACTAAGAGGAGGGTAGGGACTGGTTTAATCCTGGAACTAGAGGAGGGTTGGGACTAGTTTAATCCTGGACCTAGAGGAGGGTAGGGACTGGTTTAATCCTGGAACTAGAGGAAGGTTGGGACTGGTTTAATCCTGGACCTAGAGGAGGGTTGGGACTGGTTTAATCCTAAATCTAGAGGAGGGTTGGGAGTGGGTCTAGTTTAATCCTGGACCTAGAGGAAGGTTGGGACTAGTTTAATCCTGAACCTAGAGGAGGGTTGGGACTGGTTTAATCCTAAACCTAGAGGAAGGTTGGGACTAGTTTAATCCTAAACCAAGAGGAGGGTAGGGACTGGTTTAATCCTAAACCTAGAGGAGGGTTGGGACTGGTTTAATCCTAAACCAGGAGGAGGGTAGGGACTGGTTTAATCCTAAACCTAGAGGAGGGTTGGGACAGGTTTAATCCTAGACCAAGAGGAGTGTTGGGACTGGTTTAATCCTAGACCAAGAGGAGGGTTGGTATAGGTAAAATCTTGGGCCTAGAGGAGGGTTTGTAATGGTCCAAGCCTGGGGGGGGAACTGGGAGGGAAACTTGTCCTACTGGTGTATTAAACTATATTGAGATAGGCACTACTCATAAACCCACTTGTGTATACAAGAGAAAGAGAGGGGGGGGGGGTTGCTAACATACTTCCATATTTTAATTTAATATCTGGTTTTCTACTTAAAATGTTCTCAATAGATTTTGATATTTTAATTTTTCAGGTTGAGAAATGAAGGTTTAAGAAAAGTTAGAGATCTACAGCTATTAAAAGAAAGAGAGGAAGAATGTCAATGCTCCGGGTACACTCTAAGGATCTACATGAACATGTTGTATCCGAGGCAGGAGAGTGTCTTGAGTCTGGTCTCTACACGGACCTTATTATACGCTGTAAGGACAGAAAAACTGTGCACGCACATAAACTTGTCCTGGCCGCTGTTAGTCCCTATATCCGGTCCTTGATGGATCTCGGAGACGAGGTTGTGTTCCTCGAACTGCCGGAGTACACCAAGGATGAGATTGAATCCTTAATCTCTATTATCTACAATGGAAGCATAGATGCTAGTGTGGAGGAGATTAGAGATATGTTAACTCTAGCGCATAGTTTATATATTCCGGTACCTGTCTCCGACCAGTTGAATAGTATGCTAGGATTAAACCTTACTCCTCATCCTACTCTGATTCAACCCAACCTACCGTCATCCCACAACATGCTCAGTAAGTTTCACTAATCCAATATCTAACCTGTCAAAGTAATTATAAACAATCGTTTATTTAAAGGGAGTGTTCGGAAAAAAATCTCGCCATCGTTCCGGCGATAGCTGTTTAAAGAGCATCGTTGTACGTTTATCGATCTGTTTTTGACACTTTTTATGAACGGTCACTTTGGACTTTTGTTCACTTTTAATAATACAAATAATTTGCTAAAGAACCAAGAAAATAATTTAATCCCTAGAACTTTCAACTTTGATGTCATAAATCTCAGATATTTAAATCTATGAATTCTGTCAGATCAAATAACCCGATTTTACACTATCAGGTTGCAAAAAATGGTTTGTGTCAAAGACTCAATTCCTTTAAATATAATTTTTTTTTAAAACAGACACACACAAATAAAAATCATTTTTAGAACTTTTTTGATTTTAGTGAAGAGTATGTCTGAAATGGCGGTCCTGTGTCCCCCTGGTTTGCCCGGTCCTGCTCCAGGTTTACCCGGAATACCAGGGATGAATGCCCAGGCCCTGTCTTTACTTCAGCAGCAAATTTTTAACCAGTACGCTTTGTTTAGCAGCCTTCCAGACCCTCCCAAACAGAATATAAAGACGACATTTCCTGCAATGTCGCCTTCCTTACATCCAGCGTTAATGTCTCCGAATCAGGTGAGAAAAGGGACAGAAAACGAAAACTGTAGACAAAATGATACTCTACTAAAGGAATTGGTTCACCATTTTGAATAAGAAAAAAACATAAAACCCAATTTTAAAATGTATTCTTAAAAAATCTTAGTTCATTAATTGCTGCTCAACCCAAATTAGAACATTTTCAATTTTTTGTTGTAAAATTACATTCTATTAATATAGTTAATATTCTAGAATCAAGATAGAGAAAATTTAAACAATCAGTTAAACCAGATAATCAGCTCATCATTTCGTAATATTATTATCATTATTATTATCATTATTACTATCATTATTATTTTTATTATCATTATTATTATTATCATTATTATTATCATTACTATTATTAGTAATAATTAATTATTACAGAGAGTGATACTGGAAGTTATGTTTGTAACATTTGTGACTCCATCTACACTAATAAAGGAAACTTTAAGCAGCATATAGAGAAACATATCAAGAACGGAGAAATACCAGGGGATTCTTCTCAGACAGGGTTAGGTAGGATACAGTTTTCTCCGTCCTTCTTATTCCTTATTCTCTCGTCCCAACCTGTAACCATATACTCTACTCTTTTATCTTTCTCTTGAACTTAAATGGACTTTCGACTTAATTTCAAATGACCCTCTATTTCAAGCGATACCATACCCGATACCATCTTAACCTTTAACCTTTAAATATCTCAAGGTTCAGGTTTCTCCGTCCTTACGCAGTCAACCTTACTGTTATATATTCTCCGGTTTCCTAAATCAGTCCTAACCCTTTTAATCCGTCCTTGCTCGTTTACTCCAACCTTCTCTTAAACTCTCCTCTGTTTGTCCCTTCCATACGCATCCAACCTTAATTTTAAATTTTCTCCGTTTTCTTCAACCAACTCTTTTACTCCGTCCTTGCTCGTCACTGCAACCTTCTCTTAATTCTTAAGTTAACTCTCTTCTCTGGTTCTCAAGGTTTAGTTGTATTAATCCTACACTCCAATCAGTCCACAAATCTTACATTCCGTTCTTATACTTTTTTTATATTGCTTAATCAATGCTTAATCTTTGCGTTTTTTTTCACATATATTCTAATTTCTATATTTCTAATCCGTCTTTGGCTTTTTAGCTTTTTGCTTCAATTTATCTCTTCTCTTTGACTTTATTCATTTAATTTTATGTATTTAAAAACCTTTCTTTTGTGATAAATTAATTTCAGTTTTTCTTCTTCATCTATATCTTCTTTTCTTCTCCAATATGCTTTTATTCCTTTTTCATCTCTTTTCTTCTTTTTTATTGCTCCCAACTTCAGTTCCTTCATTTACAATTTTAAAATCTAACCTGTTGCTACAATTTTATTCAAAATATCTTTTTACAAATCTTTATTTTTTTATGTGTTTTTTTACAGATTGTTCCGGAACCCTTTATCACTGTAGTATCTGCAATAGTAGTTACAACCACCCTGGGAACTATAAACAGCATATGCTCAAGCATGAGCGTGAACAGAGGGGTCGGACGGAGAGAAACCCGGAGTCTAATCATCTCAACTCCGTCCTACAATCTGCCTTCGGTGAGTTTATTTTATAACATTGAAACAATTGTCTATAGATGCGGAATTTCAAGAAATTGAGTTGTGGATTTAATATTTGATCCAGTTATTTTAATGTGCTTTGCGTACGTGCTATTTAATGTAATCTTTTCAAATATGATTATTTCAGCGGATCGAGTGGATAATGGTGATCCCGGTAAAATCTATGTGTGCCATGATTGCAACCGAACCTTTAAACACCCCGGTAACTTTAAACAGCACATGGCGAGCCATAACCGTCCACAGATCACTTCCCCCAACCTCTCCAGTTTTCTCAAGCGTCCCATGCCGGGCCTGGTGAAGATGGTGAACGGAGAGACGAACGGGAACGGAAAGGAGGAGTGGGACTGCCCGGAGTGTAGAGAACGGTTTGATAAAGATGTAGATCTCCAGGTTCATATGAAGACTGAGCATGATATTGAAATGGTGATCCCCCCGGGACAGATAAAAAGAGAAGAAGAGTTTAAGGAAGAAGAAGAGATTGAAGAGAAACATAATTCTTCTTTCGGAGACGAGGAAGCGATGAAAGCTTTGGCAATAGCTGCTGGAGAGGCTAGGCTTGCAAACTTCCATTGCGATATTCCGGTAAAATTTTTTTTTTTTAGAAATTGCTTTCTCAAATAATTTCTTAATTCCTTAAAGCTAAATTTCAGCGGAAAAAATAAATAAAATATCTTTCAAAAAGAGAAACAGTTTTTAAAGGACTTATTTCTTATTATACACTCAGAGATTTCCTTTCAGTCGGTATTACATTATTTACAACGTTAAAGTAGTATTTTTTTGACGGAAGACATAAAAAAATCCTGTAATTCTGATGATAAATATTGGTAGAAATAAATTCAATTTTGTGAAACCAAAGATATACAGGGTTACACACAAGGGATGAGGCTTCAGAGACGACTCAACTGAAATTATGCTGTCAATGGTTCTTGATATTCATCATTCCCTTACTTAATTAAACCTTGGGATCTTACAGTCTAATTATTTGTGGGAAACCCTGTAGCTAAATACTTTTAAAAAGGTATTTGAAAAATCCGCGTAAAAAGTGTTTACTGAAACATTGAAACATTCTGAAACTAAGTAATATCTATCTAGGGCTGCTACCAATCCTTCACAACCGAAGGTTGGCTGCTCCGCCACCGGCAGAAGCAGCACGCCGACCTAATGCTACCTGAACCTGGACCTAGAACCTTTACATGTTTACAGTGTGGAAAACAGTTTAATAAACCCAGTAAACTGACACAACACATGAAAACCCACAGTCCTGAATCCCATTACAAGTATCCCTGTGATATCTGTGGAAAGAAGTTCACACGTCCTCAACATGTAAACAGGCATAAACTCCTGCATACAGGAGAGCGGCCCCACTCATGTAACACTTGTGATAAAACCTTCGCAAGAGAAGATAAGTTAAAAATGCATGTGAAGACTGGTTGCTCCGGGAATGATCTCGATATGTCCCTGGAGAGTAGGGATAGCGGGGGACAGGGAGAGAGAATGGTGATAGGGGAGCTAGAGGAGGATAGTATAGTGGATATATCAAGTAATGTTCAAGTCGGGGTCATCTGTTAAATATCTTTTATTATTTGTTTTGTTAAGTTATACCTCTCTAGTTAACAATATACAGTGATAATAATTTAATTACAGCTGACATTTTGTTTTTGAGAGAGAGAACTACTGAGATTACTCATGGTCACTTCTTGGTAAAATTCTTTATAAAATTAACCAAAGTAATAATCATATGATTGGTTCATGCTCAATGCACTGATAGCAGTGCTATAAATTTTTCATCTTGATAATTGTTTTTTTTTAACACTATTGTGTAGATACTTGATCATTAAGGGGGTCGTTTTTCTCAATTGCACTATAGAACTGGAAGAGAAATGGATTATTATATAAGGAACATTAAAAAAACGATTTTTTGAAGAAAAAAAAATTGCCATGTAAAAATCGGATTTTGTGAGTTTTAAAGTCGAAAATTTCAAGAATGCGCGCAAGCGAAAAAAGCGAATTTTGTATCAAAAGATCTGTGTTAAAATAATGAATTCAGAAACGTTGAAATCGTCAAAATCTGTTTAAAACAAACATGTTATTGCCAAAAAACTGAATTTGAGCCAAAAATTAGGCCAAAATCTCTCCAAAAAATCCGTTTTTTATACGAAAATCCGTATATATATACGAAAACAAAAACTCAGCGGCTTCAATTACGCATCTTTAGATATAACCCATATTAAAATATTTACTAGTGACATTTTTGATTTTTTTCACCCTTAAAGTCATTTTTCATGGCAATTTTAATTTTACAAAAAACTTTTTTTAAAGAGTTGTTTAGATTGACAATACTAATCCAATAACAACTGACAAAATTTAGAGTTAAAAAAAAGTTTCCGTTTTCATTTTTTTTGTCTTATCCAGAGTAAGTTTTGGTCTTGCGGATTCCATGTAAGGTTATGTCTATGGTTATTTCATCTCTTGACTAATTCTGAAAGTGCGTCCAACCAATCTCCATTTTTCTTTTGTTTCTATTTGAAAAAGAAAGTTAATTGCAGTTGCATATACTCTGCGTACATATTGAAACCAGTTCTCTCTGGGCGGAATTTGTAAACTAGAATAAAATTTTAATAATTCTGATAATTCACTTAATAGTTTCCCATGACCGGAACATTTCATTGATTTTTTATGTGAAAGATGGATCCCATGTCAGGCTTCGACATCCGTCTTGTGTTTACATTACCGCCCAGAGACAGTACACTAGGCAGTACAAAAGATGCGTACACCTCTGAAATAACTTTCCTTACATTATAACCTTGAAAAGGATTATCGTCTGTTTTGTATATTATAGAATATAAATTGAATTTCTGTTATAGAACAGAAAATCAAACCTTCCATTTTCTGAATATATGTAAATTATTAACTGTCAAAATTCTGTCTGAGCAAGACGACATTCAAAAAGATGAAAGATCATTTTCACATTTCAGAGCCTACAACAGGGTGTCTGCAATAAACATGGGAATTGAGAGACAACTTGAATATCGTCTTTGATTTCCGATAATTGATAAATGACATAAAGTGCATTAAAAAAAGATTGAACCTCTAATCTTTCCAAAATGTGGTCTACCTTCCTTGGATCATAAAAATTTGACGGAGATATTAAACATTTTTGTTGTTTTTTAATTAACTGGAATCTGGACAAATATCACCGTCAATTTTGAAGGTGAAAAAATGGTAGACCACATTTTGGAAATCCCGAGACAGTAGTTTTCGGTGTTAACTGTTTCAACTGTGATACTACAAAATTATATTTTCGAAATAATCCCGCTTGGAACTAAGAGGATATAGAAGTCGTCATTTAATACCCATGTTTATTGGGACACCCCGCAGGAAAGAAATCGTTCTGTCAAAGGATGTAATGCAAGGAAAGTTATTTCAGAAGTGTACGCATCTTTTATACGGCAGTGTACTGTCTCTGGGCGGTAATGTAAACACAAGACGGATGTCAAAGCCTGACATAGGATCCATCTTTCACTTAAAAAAATCAACGAAATATTCTGGTCATAAGAAACTATTATGTGAATTATCAAAATTATCAAAATTTAATGCTTTTAACCTCCTCGGATACTAAACGAACACTGATGCATCTATTCTTGTTTACAAATTCCGCCCAGAGAGAACTGATTTCAATATGTACGCAGAGTATACGCGACCGCAATAAACTTTCCTTGCATTACACCCTTGGTTCTGTCTTGACTATAAATTTAATTTGAACCAGATATGTTTCTTGATTATTTATAAGCGATTTAAAATTAAGATTTTATTGGTTTATTTAAGGAAATTAAAAGTTTAAATTTTTTAAAACATTTTTTTTATTCAAAACATGAGTTTTGTGTATGCACGCCTGTACAGCTGTATTTGACGTCATTGGTTATTTTGGTTGCTTGAGATCGACATTAAAACCTTAGATATTTAACATAATTATGAATTCTTTGGGCTAAAAGTGAACGAAAGTTAATGATATTAATTTGTATTTTTAAATATTTGTTTAATCATATGTTGAATTATCGTCGTTATTTCTTCTTAAAAAATGTTGAATTCTGTAAATTATGTTCACTTTTATGGACTATATGGTCAAATTGAAAATTTGAAATTTCAAGAAAGAAAACTAAAGTGGTTTCCTTATTTTTGATTGAAAACTAAAGTTGTTTCCTTATTTTTGATTGAAACCTAAAGTGGTTTCCTTATTTTTGATTGAAAACTAAAGTGGTTTCCTTATTTTTGCTTAAAAACTAAAGTGGTTTCCTTATTTTTGCTTGAAAACTAAAGTGGTTTCCTTATTTTTGATTGAAAACTAAAGTGGTTTCCTTATTTTTGCTTGAAAACTAAAGTGGTTTCCTTATTTTTGCTTGAAAACTAAAGTGATTTCCTTATTTTTGATTGAACATTCTAAAAGACAATATTATACAACTTCAACAGAGTAAAATGTATTGGATTATTAGAGAAGACGACATTTGTTACTATCTTTGTCTCACCAAAATAAATGCGTAGAATTTGCGTAAATTTTCTTATGCACTATCTTTAATTAGCAAAAACTTTAATTTGAACCAATAATATATCCATTTTTTACCAAAAAAATTTACGGTTTTTATCTAAAAATATATTTGTTTTTTTTTACCAAAAATATTACAATTATTTTTAATCAAACGTCAATTTCTTTGACTTTCCGTTTTCAATTTTTTGTAAGACAAAATTGTAAAATGTTTAGCCAAAAATTTATATGTTTTTAGTATAAAAGGTTAGATTTTTAGTTAAAAATTGTAATATTTTTGGACGATAACATTTTGGTGGTTTACATTTTAGCTTTCTATTTACCCCGCCCAGCAAGGTCTTGGATTAATATTTCTACTTTTATCAAGGAAAGGTTTAGAGCAACGATCTATATCTCCAGTGATCGAATATATTTGAATAAAATCCAGGTTTACCTCAAGCAGTAAATAGTGGAATGTCAAATAATTTGATCTTTTGAATATCTAAAACTGAATTCTACCTTAGTAAAACTGCGTAATAGAAGTATATGATCTTATTCTTCTCTTCTGTTGGCCCCATTTTTAAAAATATTTGTTTTTACAGCAATGTCAAAGAAATGTCAACGCCTGTCTCTTTAAATTGTTCTGGTTTATACTGGAATTTAATTATCTCTAGTTTAATCTGGAGAAGTATATTTCCCAAACAGAGAGGACGAATCGAGGACAGATTGAGGGCGAGGCCCCCCTACCGACGCTAGGATCGATTTTCTCCGTAAACCTCGCGGCGTCATGGAAACTGTGCAAAGTTTGAACCCAGCCCTGGGTGCAGTTTATAACACGCTCTCAACACTCCTCATTATATAACGGGTTAGGTTTGCATCATAACACACAATCAGAACGGGGATTGTAGGACAATTAAGTCGTCTTTGATAATTAATGATGAATTACTATTATATGACTAGGTTTAGTGAAAGTGGCCCAAAATGTTGGTTTCTCTTTGTGTGTTACCAATGAGAGAGATTTTGTAAAGTAATAACAATTTTAGATTTAGTTTATAATAATTGTAAAATAGCAAGAACAAAAGTTCAATATCTCAGTTCTATTTGGATTGCACATTAAAGATAGCGGAAGTTTAAAGGAATCTAACTTTTAAATTGTTTAAAGCATAACAAAGTTTGAGATACGATGGCTGATAAAGACGACATTCACATTGTCACTACGTTCATTTAATTTTCAGATAGTGAAAATCCTAAAATGGCGGCGGAATGGAAGCAAGGTCTTTTTAACTGCTGCGGAGACTGTGGAATTTGTAAGTTTCAAGAAATTATAATTATTATTATTAATGAAAGACGACCTGTTTAAAATTCCGTTCTGTGTATGGTTTCCCGTGGATGATTTTACAATTATTACTTGAAGCCATGATATTTGACAAATTTCATTAAACATATTTGAGTTTTTTTGAGAAAATTCTTTTAAAAATTTATCTTAAAACTTTGGTTTTAACTATTCCTATAATTATTTGCTATATTTCTAACATTCTGATATTTCTGAAAGGTATTTTTTGGGATAAATGCTCTGTCAAAGATTTGATCTGTAACTTTGAAGGAACAATCGCCATTTCTATTTAATTATTAAGCTACATTCGATCAAAGAATTCAATTTTCCGAACTGTTCTCACAAGATTTTTAATATATTTTCTAGCCAATTTGTGATATTTCGAACTGTTTCCGCTAGTTTTCGATATTTCAAACTGTTATCGTAGTTTTCGATATTTCAAACTGTTCTAACTAGTTTTCGACATTTCAAACTGTTCCCGTAGTTTTCGATATTTCAAATTGTTATCGAAGTTTTCGATATTTTGAACTGTTTTTCCAAGTTTTCGATATTTCAAACTTGATAATAGGATTTATATTAACAGTGAGTATTTACTAAGGCTGCTGCGGAACCTTCTGTGACTGCTGTCTGGTTTACCAGAACGCGGATAACCTTGGGAAATCAGGGTTACTCTGCTGCCTCCTGGCTTGCATGATACCTTGCGTTCCAACCATGATTCTAAGGAACGAAGCGAGGGAACGATGGGGAATCCAGGTACAGATTAATTAAAGAATTGCCGCTCACCATTCGTTTAAATCTTCTTCTTGCATTAAAAGGAATTGAGTTTTTATTCACTATATCTTTGCAACACAATGTCGTAGACATTTTATGTTTCAAACTATGACTTCTAATAACCTAAATAACATCTGGTTGCGAAGTTATAGGGATTAGACAATTTGATTTTGTGGCAAAGACTCAATTCCTTTTCTTGGGTTCCATTGAATATTCTAAGCCTTGATTGAAGATTAAAAAAAAAAAATTATCATATCTCTGTACATAGATTAATTAAAATAACAGGTATGAAACTAGATGTCTTTTTTTTCAAGATTTGGGGGATTTTCGTTCACATTAACACTGAGGCAGAAGCCAAAAGAGTTGCGCGTAGTCAAATCCTATCTGTTGTATCTAGGGAAGCACTGGAGGAGATTTCTGTGCATCTGTCTGCTGTTATCCTTGTGTGGACTGTCAGACAGCTGTAGAGATTAAGGAGAGAGGAGCACAGAATTAATTATAAAAACCATCCCAGCCTTAAACTCAGCAAGAAAATCAATCTCATCCTCTCCGGGAAATAGTCCAAACACAAACCCAGATCTTATTTCTTTATCATCTCAGATTCTCATAAAAATATAATGTATGGTCTAAGGAGAACTAGAAACCTAATCTCAGGTTCTCAGAAGAACTCTAATCTTAGGTTCTCAGGAGAACTAGGAGCCTAATCTTAGGTTCTCAGGAGAACAAGAAACCTAATCTCAGGTTCTCAGAAGAACTAGAAACCTAATCTCAGGTTCTCAGGAGAACAAGAAACCTAATCTCAGGTTCTCAGGAGAACAAGAAACCTAATCTCAGGTTCTCAGGAGATCTAAAACCCTTATACCAGGTTCTCAAGTGACCTAGAACCATAATATCAGGTTCTCAGTAGAACTAGAAACATAATCTCAGGTTCTCAGGAGAACTAAAAACAAAATCTCAGGTTCTTACTGGAACTAGAAACCTAATCTCAAGTTCTTAGTAGAACTAGAAACCTAATCTCAGGTTCTCATGAGAACTATAAAACCTAATCTCAGGTTCTAAGGAGAACTAGAAACCTAATCTCAGGTTCTCAGGAGAACTAGAAACATAATCTTAGAAACTTCCATCTCTTGTTCACAAATAAAATTCTAAATTTCTCCGAATTTCTCTTGACAATCTTGGAGAAAAGTTTAAGCTTAATATGTCTCCTCCCCCCTCTCCTCATATCTTCCTTAAGACAAATCTAAGTGATGGCTTTCTTTTATAAATATATTCTTAACTTCCATATATAATGTACACCATCATGTATACACCTATATCTCCTCTCCTCTACATACACAAGTTGCAAACACAATAGAATCTGTATTTCTAACCTGTAATAAATTACAGGTATTAATCATGGGTCACAATATTTTCATGTAGTTAAAATGTTGGTATAAATCGTAATAATATTTGGTTGAACAAGCTTATTAGTTTTCTGTAAGTAGGAGTAATTGAGGGGTTGATAGGATCAGTAGGAAAAAACGTTTTGTGACTTCTGAAAAATAAATACCCAGTTCGTTACAAAAATTATCGTTTGCAACGATAATCACGAATCTTGAGCATTTCTATATTTAAAACGTGTTTTCACTTTTCACGGATTTGGCGTCTATTGGCGGAGAAGGTTTGGTTTGGTTTCGGCTCTGGGAGGGGATTTGATTTCAAGACGACATCTATTGGAGAAAGGTTTCAAGATGTATTTATGGCCAACAGTAGTGTTTAGTTGCTGTACATCGTAAATTATATGTTTTGCACAAAATTCTTATATTTTTCCGCTTTACTAAAATTATTTCTCTTTTGATAAAACGCCACTTTTCTATTTTTAAATAATAAAATCAATTAAAATGCCTTGCTTACTTTTCTTAACAAAACATTTATCTAAAATTCCGAAATACTATTTTTTAATCATGTTTAAACACACTGATCTCACACCGATAGAACAGGATAGGATAGAACAGGATAGGATAGGACAGGATAGGATAGGACAGGATAGGATAGGACAGGATAGGATAGGACAGGATAGGATAGAACAAGAAAAAAATGATTATTTTTCAAATATTTTAAACCTTAAAGTACCAATCTGCACTTATTAATGCTTCATCAAAGTTTTCAATGTTGAACCTGCCTGTATTACGGTATTACGATATGTACCACCCAATGTAAGTAGGATTTCATATTTAACTAAACGTAATGGATAGGTTTATTTCTAATAATAAGAAAATAAAACTTTAGAATCGGATATCAACATTGGACACTTATGATTTCTGCTTCATCCGCTTTCCACACTTGTTTTTTAAATCAGATTCTGATTTTCCCGGCTTCTGATTGGCTGTTCGGGATTCTGCATACTCATTCTTATTGGTTAAATTTTAGACAATTTCTTGGATGAACAAGCATTTATCTCTATATCCACAACAATTCTAAAGTTGTTAGCTCTAACCACAAAAATCCAACTTATATCTTTGTTATCGTTGTTGTTTAGGGTCTTGACAGGTTGTACCATTAAAGGTTATTATGAACAAAGGTTGGGAAGGTTCCATGTTATTTCTGTGTAATCTATATTTAAAAACTGGTCACGCAAACAACCTTTGAATTAATTACAAAGCTTTATTATGAAGAGAATACCAGACAATGGAAAAGTTTAATGGAATAAATAGAAATCTATTGTGCTAACTTTTTTTAAAGAACCTGTAAAATCTTTCCTAAGTATGAGTTCAGAATGTTTAAAACTTCAGCCTTTAACATTTCACTTTTTGTCTATAAAAAATTGTTTTTTTCTTAGACTTTGCTATTTGTGTAAACTACCAGCAGACGTTTACTTTAGGAAATACATTTCGGACAAAAACTAGGTTAGGAATATTTAAATTTTTTTTATAAATTGGGAAAAATTAGGTAAGAAATTTGAAATTTGAATAGCAGGATGAAAAAGTTACTTTTTTGCCTTGTTGTAGGGCGATAAAGTTACTTAATCACCCTGAAACGGGAAATATTAGGTGTGATAAATTCCCTCAAAATTGAATAAAAAATCTATTTACACTTAAAATTTATATTCAAAAAGAATCACTACAAGCAGCGTTTCGTCTTTATTCTAAGTTGGCTAATATTTGTATTGCGCTTCCGAACTAGAATTTTAAAATCTAATAAATGTTTACAAAATATAAATTGAATAATGTTTACATCACCAAAATCATGTTTTTTCTATCTAAATGTATAAAATAATAATAAAAATTCTAATAATCATTCGGATTATCTAGAAGAGAGAACATTTCTCAGAGAAATGACACTGTAAAGGGTGTTAGGTTAACAATCTCAGCCTTGTAAAAATAAGTTAAAAACACGAGGAAAGGTTACCCACAAAGAATGGGATTTCATCAACGACTGTACGGAATTAATACTGTTAGTTTCCTTATATTTATGATGCCCTGCAACTGTAAAATCAGTTAGTAAACCATTAAAACAATTAAAATAAGTTATTAAAATATAAGACTTAAACCAATGGGACCATTATATTTTTAGAGTAGCAGGTCGTCTTTACAGTCTTTTCTTTGTGTGTTATCCTGTAACTTTTTCCTTCTTTTTCAAGGATTTCATCATGTTAATGTTAAATAATGAAAAATGGTTACAAATAGTTTTAAGTAAATTATTGAAGATAATCTTAATTTGCCATGCCATAATTAAAACTAAGTTGTAAGGAAGAATATCAAAAGACGATTTATAAAGTTGGTAGAAGGTTGAAGTCAGGCTGCTACACAGACTGCTTATCTCTTTTCACAGGGCGGGCTACGAAGGTCTAAGTTGACCCGGCACGACATGCTACGTTTTTACGATAGGTTTTTAGAGTGCCATCTCATCTCATCTCATAGAAGAAAGGATATAATAAGCTCAGAAACCTTGAAGAAAGTATATAATAAACTCAGAAACTTAGAAGAAAGGATATAGTAAACCCAGTAACCTAAAAGAAAGGATAAAATGATTACTTAGTAACCTAAAAGAAAGTCTATAATAAACTAAGTGACTTAGAAGAAAGGGTTTAGTAAACCCAGAAACCTAGAGGAAAGGATATAATGATTACTTAGTAACCAAAGAGAGGAGTTAATAAACTCAGTAACCTAGGAGAAAGGGTATTATAAACTTAGTAACCTAGAAGAAAGGATATTATAAACACGATAACCTAGAAGAAAGGATATAATAAACTCGGTAACCAAAAAGAAAGGATATAATAAACTCGGCAGCATAGAAGAAAAGATATAATAAACTCGGTAACCAAGAAGAAAGGAATAAACTCAATAACCTAGAAGGAAGGATATAATAAACTCAGTAACCAAGAAGAAAGGAATAAACTCAATAACCTAGAAGAAAGGATATGATAAACTCAGTAACCAAGAAGAAAGGATATAATAAACTCAGTAACCAAGAAGAACGGATATAAACTCAGTAACCTAGAAGAAAGGATATGATAAACTCAGTAACTTATAAGAAAGGATATAGTAAACTCGGTAACCAAGAAGAAAGGATAAATTGAACTCAGTAACCTAGAGGAAACCCTGAAATGAAACCTGGAATGATTTACTTCGGGTATCGATGAAAACCCTGAGAGTATGAGCAGTAAGACGGGGATGGATGGATACGAGGATATATCTCAGCTGAACCTATAGAGAGAGAGAACTCAGGTGCTTTCTACAGATGTCTCTGTAAGCCTGGCTCTACTCCAGTAGGTGAGGTGAATACAGGCAGAGAACAGTGTAGGCTGAGTATAGGCATGCACCCAGATACTTCATTTACCTTTAGGAACCATAATTCACAAGGTTTTACTTTTTACTTTAGTTAGGATAAAACAAATATATTTTCATTTACATTTACTACGCACTAAATAAATGCAAAAATACAACAAAAAATGTACATTTTTTGCAAAGATTTTAGTGTTCAAATCGTTTTTTTTGCAACATAGGCAAGGTTACTCAGTATTGCACAACTATAGGAGCCGCAGAGCTTAACTTTGTTGTTTTTATTTTGTTTTTGTGTTCCAGCTGAGATTGTTATTAATACTTTTAAACTTACCTTTTAACATAAGTATTTAATTATCATAAACCTATGTATATGCATATTCCTGTAAAACTTGATTATTTCAAGTATCACCGCAATATACGAATTAATAAAACCTAGTTATTGCTTCCAACCTGGATATATTCCTATTTACATTTAGTTGTTTGCACAAAGATTCGAAATCATTTTAATGAATAAATTGCATTAAAATATAAACTACGTGAGACTTATTTTTTTCATTCATTTTTCCAGAACATGCTTGATTCATAGTACATATATATACTACACACGGACATAAATAAAAACATATATACTCACGGACATAAATAAACACATATATACTCACGGACATAAATAAACACATATATACTCACGGACATAAATAAACACATACATATTCACTGACATAAATAAATACATACATACATACACACGGATTTAGACAAACATAAACATGCACACGAACATAGATAAAAACATATCCATACACATGGACAATGGACATATATTAAAAACATAATTGCACACGGACATATTTAAACATATTCGTACACACGGACATAAATAAACACATATATACTCACATATAAACACATACATACTCACGGATATAGACAAATATATACATGCACACGAACATAGATAAAAACATATCCATACACATGGACAATGGACATATATTAAAAACATAATTGCACACGGACATAGACAAACACACGGACATAGTCAAACACATTCGTACACACGGACATTGATAAACATGCACTTGGATATTCAGGCGACTCAGACACAGACATCAAATACACGAGAATAAGAATATGGCATGGTGACTTCAATTGAATCATTACACAATTGCTTAACTATATAACTTCCTAACTGTATAACTTCCTAACTATATAACTTCCTAACTAGATAACTTCCTGACTATATAACTTCCTAACTAGATAACTTCCTAACTAGATAACTTCCTAACTAGATAACTTCCTAACTATATAAGTTACTAACTATATATCTTTCTAAATATATAACTTCCTAACTATATAACTTCCTAAATATATAACTTCCTAACTATATAACTTCCTAACTAGATAACTTCCTAACTAGATAACCTCCTAACTAGATAACTTCCTTACTAGATAACTTCCTAACTGTATAACTTACTAACTATATAACTTACTAACTATATAACTTACTAGTTATATAACTTACTAACTATATAACTTACTAACTATATAACTTACTAACTATATAACTTACTAGCTATATAACTTACTAGCTATATAACTTATTAGTTATATAACTTACTAACTATATATCTTTCTAAATATATAACTTTCCAACTAGATGACTACGTAAATGTCTCAATACCCAAATACATAAATACCTAAGAGTCGATATTCCTAACTCCCTAAATGTCCTATTATCTAGAAACTAACTTCTAGCAATGAAACTTACATGATGGGAAGTGCTTTAGGGAAAGAATGTGATGGGAAGAATGTTATTGGAAGTATAGGATGGAAATTATGTGAAAAAGTGTGATGGAAAGTTTATGATGGACAGCATGTGATGGAAAGTATGTGAAAGGAAGTATGTGATGGGAAGTATGTGAAAGGTAGTTTGTAATCTGAAGTATGTGATGGGAAGTATGTGAAAGGATGTATGTGATGAGAAGTATGTTAGGTTAACATATAACAGGGAGTGTGTTAAAGGAAGTATTAGATGAGAAGTATTTTATGGGAAGGATGTTAAAGGAAGTATATAACTAGGAGTATGTAATTAGTATAGTATTGTGTACTAGTATAGTATTGTGTACTAGTATAGTATTGTGTACTAGTATAGCATTGTGAACTAGTATAGGATTGTGAACTAGTATAGGATTGTGTACTAGTATAGTATTGTGTACTAGTATAGGATTGTGTACTAGTATAGTATTGTGTACTAGTAAAGGATTGTGTACTAGTATAGGATTGTGAATGTATATGGATGAAGAATGTGCAAGGATGAATGTTTGATGAATGAGTAATGAGGAGGGTTCTATGTATGCACACCTGTATATTTAGAATTTCATTATAACCTTCCTTACAATAAACCAACCTTACAATACACCTTCCTTACAAAATACCTTCCTTACAATATACCTTCCTTACAATATACCTTCCTTACAATATAATTAACTTACAATATACCTTCCTTACAATATACCTTCCTTACAATATAGCTTCCTTACAATATACCTTTCTTACAATATATACCTTCCTTACAATATACCTTCCTTACAATATACCTTCCTTACAATATAATTAACTTACAATATACCTTCCTTACAATATACCTTCCTTACAATATAGCTTCCTTACAATATACCTTTCTTACAATATATCTTCCTTACAATATACCTTCCTTACAATATAGCTTCCTTACAATATACCTTTCTTACAATATACCTTCCCTGCAATATACCTTCCTTACAATATACCTTTCTTACAATATATCTTCCTTACAATATACCTTCCTTACAATAAACCTTCCCTGCAATATACCTTCCTTACAATATACTTTCCCTGCAATATACCTTCCTCAATTACTATTTTAAATCCTAATAATAATTTAGTTTTAATCTATTCGTACTTTTGTTTAATATTTTATGCTTGCGACACAAATCTTGAAATTTAAAGATAGTGTGAGGGGTTACAGTAAAACCAGGGGGAGGGGGCAATGAGAGCGAGTGTGAGGGGTTACAGTAAAACCAGGGGGAGGGGGCAATGTAAGGTTATCAGTATTTATTATTTAGTGGGGTTGTATAATTAACTCCTTGACATGCTTATATGAAAACTGGCAGACTTATATGAAAACTGGCAGACTTATATGAAAACTGGCAGACTTATATGAAATCTGGCGGAATTATATGAAAGCTAAATAATGAAGGATGGGAGAATTTTTATGGCTTTAAGGTTTACAACACTACACTGCCCAAAAAGAGAGAAAATCTTGGTCACAGAAATTTAGATTTTGCACTTCTATCTAGTGTTAGGATCAGTATCTGGAGTTAGGATCAGTATCTTGGGTTAGGATCAGTATCTAGGATTAGGATCAGTATCTGGGGTTAGGATCAGTATCTGGAGTTAGGATCAGTATCTTGGGTTAGGATCAGTATCTAGGGTTAGGATCAGTATCTGGAGTTAGATCAGTGTCTAGGGTTAGGATCAGTATCTAGTGTTAGGATCAGTATCTAGGGTTAGGATCAGTATCTAGGGTTAGGATCAGTATCTTGGGTTAGGATCAGTATCTAGGGTTAGGATCAGTTTCTAGGGTTAGGATCAGTATCTAAGTTTAGGATCAGTATCTTGGGTTAGGATCAGTATCTAGGATTAGTATCAGTATCTAGGGTTAGGATCAGTATCTAGGGTAAGGATCAGTATCTTGGGTTAGGATCAGTATCTAGGGTTAGGATCAGTTTCTAGGGTTAGGATCAGTATATCTTGGGTTAGGATCAGTATCTAGGGTTAGGATCAGTATCTAAGTTTAGGATCAGTTTCTTGGGTTAGGATCAGTATCTAAGTTTAGGATCAGTATCTAGGGTTAGGATCAGTATCTTGGATTAGTATCAGTATCTAGGGTTAGGATCAGTATCTTGGATTAGTATCAATATAATATTTTGATGCATCGGAATAATTCGGAGCTTCTCGTTTTTTCCAAGGTTTAGTGAGTTTATTTCTCTCCTTGTATTAAGTTTACTCAAGATAGAATCTAACTTGTTTATTTGTTTCCCAAGTTTACAGCCTATGTCAGGCCTACAGAGTACGGGGGAAATAATATTTGAATTAATCTACAATTTTTTAACAGAATGGATTTTTTTATGAAAAACAACACCGTTATATGTTCCGAAATTTAAAAAACAAGGTTGTGAATTATATTAAATTAGGTTTATCTATGGTTAGCTAACGGGTTGAGTCGGGATGGACGGTTTCTCCAGTCTGAGGAGAACACAGAAAAGATATCCGTCCAACTCTGCCAGTCTCTCCAACCTTCACTATCCTTCCAGCACAGGACCTTTACAGAGACCTTCTTCATCTGTAAGTTACTCTCCTTCCACATATCATCCAACATCCTTTCATCCTTCCTCCTCTCCCACCCCTCCTCCTCCTTCTCTACCAACAACAACATCAGGTTCCAACAACCTTCACTACACTAACAACACCTCTAGTAGACTAAACAACTCCGGAAGTGCTGCTTCCTCCAGACTGAGCAGTCCTGTAAACTCCAATATCAGACCAAGTTTCCCAACCAGTTCAGGATACAGTTCTAACAACGGATCCGGATACGGGTCAAATAATAGTTCGGGATACGGGGCTAATAATAATTCCGGATATGGTTCGAATAACAGCTCCGGGTATAGTTCTAACAACAGCCCTGGGTACGGTCCCAACCTCAGCTCCGGGTATGGGTCTAATAACGGCTCTGGGTATGGTTTAAACATTGGAGGGGGATATACAACCATCCCAATCCATTCTACTAATGGGTCAGGAAACAACAGGTATTAATAAACATTCTCTTTAAAATATATAATTAATAATGAATTGCTTATTCGGCATTTTTTAAACGAATAGTGAAAAAAAAATTTCAAATTGTTCTTTTGACAACTAAATTATGATCAGTATTTTAGCATGTTTTCGGCTTTTTCTCCCTTTGTTCGTCGATTTTGAAAAAAAAACAGATTTTAATCAATGTATTGTCATATCGGAAAAAAGTATTTAAAAGTAAATATTCCTTGTTTGATAATTTGAAAGAAAGACGACATTGAAGAGTTGATATTTTTTTCGGCATATTTTTTTAAAAACATTTTCAAGAAAGAAAACTTACCAAATGAAGGATTATAATTTTAATTTTAAAGGAATTGAGTTTTTGCCACAAACTCTGAGTTTCTAATTTCAATATCGTTGCAACCCAATGTTGTAGACCTTTAGTATTTCAAACTTTTAAAGATATTAGATTAAATAAAGTAAGTTTGAAATATCAAAGGTTTACATCATAAGGCTGCAAAGATATAGGTTTTACAAACACTGAATTTGTGACAAAGACTCAATTCCTTTTGAATTAACCCTACAAAACTTATTTAAAATTTATTAAATGCAATAAAATAAATTCATCTATCCCTTTCTTTATTTTTATACCTCTAAGATAAACCATTTTGCTCAGCTTTGAAACACAGAAATATCTAAATTACAGGATAAACCTGCCATTTTTTCTTAGAATTCAACTTACATACATTTTTCATATGGAAATCATCAATCATAACTCGAATCCCAATTTAAAATTTTCCATCCTTCAAATTATTATGCCTCGCTTTGTAGATTTAGCAATATCCTACCTAACCCTGTACTATAGATTCAGCAACATCCTGCCCACCCTGTACTATAGATTCAGCAATATCCTACCTAACCCTGTACTATAGATTCAGCAATATCCTACCTAACCCTGTACTATAGATTCAACAGTATCCTACCTAACCCTGTACTATAGATTCAGCAATATCCTACCTGACCCTGTATTAGCAATATCCTACCTAACCCTGTACTATAGATTTAGCAATATCCTACCTAACCCTGTACTATAGATTCAGCAATATCCTACCTAACCCTGTACTATTGATTCAGCAATATCCTACCCTCACCCTGTACTATAGATTCAGCAATATCCTACCTAATCCTGTACTAAAGATTCAGCAATATCCTACCTAACACTTATTATAGATTTAGCAATATCCTACCTAATCCTGTACTATAGATTCAGCAATATCCTACCTTACCCTGTACTATAGATTCAGCAATATCCTACCTGACCCTGTACTATAGATTTAGAAATATCCTAACTAACCCTGTATTATAGATTCAGCAATATCCTACCCTACCCTGTACTATAGATTCAGCAATATCCTACCTGACCCTGGACTATATATTCAGCAATATCCTACCTTACCCTGTACTTTAGATTCAGCAATATCCTACCTAACCCTGTATTAGCAATATCCTACCTAACCCTGTACTATAGATTCATATATTCAGCAATATCCTACCTAACCCTGTATTATAGATTCAGCAATATCCTACCTAACCCTGTACTTTAGATTCAGCAATAGCCTACCTAACCCTGTATAAAGATTCAGCAATATCCTACCTAAACCTTTACTAAAGATTCAGCAATATCCTACCTAACCCTGTACTATAGATTCAGCAATATCCTACCTAACCCTGTACTATAGATTCAGCAATATCCTACCTAACCCTGTACTATAGATTCAGCAATATCCTACCCTCATCCTGTATTATAGATTCAGCAATATCCTACCTAACCCTGTACTATAGATTCAGCAATATCCTACCTTACCCTGTACTATAGATTCAGCTATATCCAACCCCACCCTGCAATATCCAAATGATAAAAAGAAACTGCAGAATTAAAATAGGGATGGGAATAGTTATTTTTAACATTTAAGCTTTTTTTAATTTTAAAGATGTGCTTCATGGCTCAGAGTATTCCGCTTTATAAGTTAGCTTTTAGCACGATTTATATAATGATTTTTTGTACACACTATTGGTCTCCGGGGTGTCTTATAGGCTAAAAAAAAAATTTAAAATTTTTTCACAAATTTTTTTTTTCAACGGGCAACGCCGGGCCTTCAGCTAGTCTATATAATAAAACAAGACATTCGTATATATATATATATGTTGCCTATAGCCAGGAAAACGGCTGGACCGATTGGGCTGAATTTTTTGTGGACACTCAGGGGTGACAAGGGAGTGTTATAGGTTGTTATAGGTTATCAAAAATTCGAAATTTTTTAAAAACATTATTTTTAACATTTTTTTTTCACGTGCAACGCTGGGCACTTCAGCTAGTATTATATAAAATATAACTGTTCACAATGTGATATAAGAAAAAACAGAGAGCATACATATTTTTAAAAACTCGGACTAAAAACGAAATTTCAATTAACCCTAGATTCACAACTGTATCCTTAAAACCTGTATTTAAGTAAATATGTTTTTTCTATCTTGAAAAGTGTTAAATTCAGAAACTTTCCTTCTGTGTCTCTGCTGCGTAAATCTGAAAAATGCGTTATAAGAGAAACCACAATTGACAATGATCAATTTTCTGCTAAAAAGCATGAATATTTCATTTATCTTTGATCAGAATAAGGTTTAAATGGTACCGTTGTGAATCGGAATGTCACCTTGTAAAGTTAAAAAAAACAATTGTTGGTTTGACAAAAAGGGAAAATGATGCTTATCCCTAGAGCAGAGAAGGGAAACTGATGCTTATCCCTAGAGCAGAGAAGGGAAAATGTTGCTTATCCCTAGAGCAGATAAGGGAAACTGTTGCTTATCCCTAGAGCAGAGAAGGGAAACTTTTGCTTATCCCTAGAGCAGAGAAGGGAAACTGTTGCTTATCCCTAGAGCAGAGAAGGGAAACTGTTGCTTATCCCTAGAGCAGAGAAGGGAAACTGATGCTTATCCCTAGAGCAGAGAAGGGAAACTGATGCTTATCCCTAGAGCAGAGAAGGGAAACTGTTGCTTATCCCTAGAGCAGAGAAGGGAAACTGTTGCTTATCCCTAGAGCAGAGAAGGGAAACTG